CTGTGGTGTGTGGTCAGTCTAGAGCAAGGCAGCACAAACTGAAGAGCTCTGAATGCTGCCACTCAGTACCTCCGTCCCACCCCTCCCGTCCAATGCAAAAATAACACTCACAGACTCAATAAACACCAGGTAAACAAACAGTGCTGCCAGTCTTTCATGACATCCTTGCACTAATAAATATTGCAAAAAGAATATATATAAATATACATAATACATATGTATATATTATGTGAATTGGGCTTGTATTACATATGCTCTGATATGGCGCCATGTCCTAATCTGATATTGCAGGGCAATTACACATGTACATACACACACTCACAAATGCATAAAAATATTCTCTCTCTTTCTCTCTCTCTCTCATCTATCTCTCTATCACGCACACACACAGCAGGGCCATTGGGTAAAGTGTGCAATGGTTAAAAGTCAAACCAGCGACTAAATGTACATGTACATCTTGATAAAAACCAACAATTTGAAAACATCTTACAATGAGTGTGTTGAAGAATAAACCACACAATCTGTGTTTTGCATTTCAATGGCAAGGTGGAATGAGAAAAGGCCACGGGCCACAAGAGACATTTGAACACAACACTCCTGTAATGTGTCATTCCATAAAACCATACATGGCGTCTTTTTAGTAGTTCTAGTTTAACAGCACTTGCAGCACAATTAGGTCATATAAGTGCCGATGATAAGAGGTGTTTGGTTTGGTTTTAGTAAGAGTTTTACAGCACTTGCAACACAAATGGGACATACAAGTGTAGACAATACAGTAACAGTTCTACAGCATTTGCAGCACAATTAGGTCATATTAAGTGCCGATGATAAGAGATGGTTAGTTTGGTTTTAGTAAAAGTTCAAAGGCATTTGCAGCACAATTAGGTGATATAAGTGGCGCAGGGGTGTTACAAGAGAGTAACAAACCCATAAAAGGAGAGATAAGGATGATAGATTTTTGACAGAGAAAGATGGGGAGCAAACCACACCAGAGCACCTGCCAATCACCCATAATTAGTTTTAGTTTAACACCACTTGCAATATAAATAGGTCGTGATATAAGTACCGATGATAAGAAGTCTTACTTGAGAGACACACAAAAGAAAACAAGGAGGAGAGATAGTGATGATAGGTGCTTGATAGGAGAGAAGAAGCAAACTGCATCAGAATATTTATATGCCAACCACTCACTTGGCATCTGTATGTCATACACAGCGTCACCATGGCTCAATCTATTTGCTCACAGGAGAGGACAAGGAGTGTTAGCAAAATTTTATGAGAAGAGACGCCCAAAATGAGAATTAATTTAAAGTTTGAATGTATCGTCGGTGTTGGGCAAAAAGTCAGAGACAGAAAAAACAAAATTTTCTAATGTCAAATCATAAAAATATACAGCTCTCAATCATGCACAGAAGTATGTTACGAAATGAGGAAAAAAATAGAAACATGCTAAAAAGAGCTTTGTAATTCCACCAAGTATGTTGTGAAAAGAGACAGAATCCAACAGACTTTCCTGCCTCATGTTAGATGTGCTTCCTTGAGGTAGATTTCTCCGCAACTGACTGACAGCACGATTATGGTATCTGCTATCCATGTCAAAATCATTTTTTAAAAACATTTTGAATTGATTAATAGAAGAGAACCAGGATCTTCAAAAGGCCCAACATCCACTCAGACATAAATATTTTAATTCTGAACTCGAAACTGTTTTGAGAAATCCCATTTATTTTTTACAACCAAAGTAGGCTAACTTTCAAACTGATTTCTTCCCCCCACCCACCCCCCAAAAATATTAATTTACAAGAGGTGATTCTCACACCTCATAATTTATAAGAAATTATAATTCTCCTCAGCTCTGAGCTAAATGCTTACATGTGATAACAAAAACCTTAAGGATGATAATTTGAACCTAAGTCTTAATTTCAGGTGACACAAGAAACATAGAAAACAAAAACAAGATGTGATATACAAAACTGCACTGGCAATAAGAATATTACACTCCCTCATACATATAATATGTATGCCCATACATGCAGTGACCGAAGCGTGAAACTGTATGACACAAAGCGCGGGACACAAAGAAATGTGTCGCCGACTGAGGCAGAGGAAGGGGTCAAGGTCAAGCTCCAGTCTTCAAGAAGTAGCAGCTGGGAAAAGGCAACGTTCATTAATCCAGCAGGGAGAAGGAAATAAGCAACATCAGAAAAATACACAAGTGATGATTCAGTAACAAAACATTATAAAAGATTCTCTTTTTTAAATGTACATTTATTATACAGAAGTCCTGGGAAAAAAACAACAATATGGTTCCACAGCAAGTCAATTTTCAAAACCTGATATGAGAGGCGTCATGTTGAAATCAGGCACTCAACAAAATATTGAAATTGAAGAAACTGACATTTTTTTGCCCGTTGAGCAATTTAAAAAATCTTAATTTTAAAAAATGTATTTACTTATTTTTATTTTTGGATCAACACAATCTAGGTTCATACTAATTTTACCTCTGATACCAAGTGACCCCCCCCCCCTCCCGCCACCTCCTTTAAATGAGTTGTTTTTTTTTGTTTATCAAAAGCAAGACAAAAGAACAAGCTTTAAGATGATTACAGTAACTAATAATGCCCTAAAATTGAAGAGCGCCTGATTCCACTACACCTTGACACATATTATATTGATTCAAACAACAAGGATACACATACATCCTTGCCTTGTGCAATTTTCAATCATATTTGGAACTGACCTTGCTCATGTGATGTCATTGAAAGCTGGGGCAGTTGTATTTTACAGCTTTTAATATTCACCAGGAATAAATAAATAATAAGTAAAAAAAAGAAAACTACGCTAAGAAAAAGTAAGGTGCAGAGATTTCCCTAGAATCTCTCAATAAGAAGCTACAGGAATTATTTAAGTAGGGGGAGTAAGGCAAAGAACCTGCTTATGAAAAGCAGTGGCAGTGAGAGGGAGTAAAAGAAACAGCATTGTATTGCAAGCAAATTATCACTGCTCCGTGCAACTTTATGATGAGTTAGGTTGGGTTTTTTTAGCATCCTACTAAACATACATAGGTCATTTAGAAAGTGGAAATATTGCCAGTAAAAAAGTGTGAGTGGAGTATCGACAGAGAAAAACAAAAACTGGTGCAAATAAACCAGCAGTGCACCACACGAGAGAGAATGGGGAGCACACAACAAAAAAAAAGAAGAAAAAAAGGGAATGCGTCGACGCACGATCACACACCGCACCGCAGTGTCTGTCACACATAATCACAAGAGTCAAGAAACCAACATTTAGAAGGAGGCATTTCTCGTGAGGAGAGGCCACTAAAAATTCCATCCAAACAACAACAACAACAACAAAAAAAAAAAAAAAAGAAATGCCTCAAGAAAGGGATACAAAACATATTTAAAATTATTTTAAAAGTGGGGAGGGGGGGAGGGGGGTTTATTTCGTAGTATCCTGCAACTTTTGTCTGTCCTCAGAATATGAGGAGGAATATTATGACCCAGTGAGCTGCTCAACAAGAGGGTGGGGACTTCAACACATAGGGGTAATAGGGGTAATAGGGGTAAAAAAACCAACAACTTTTATACAGGAATGAAACAGGCACACGTATGTGTAGCAGCACGACTTGTTTTGAAATTATAACACCATGGATATCAACATACTAATGACTTTGTTTTCATTTCAGTAAGAGTTTTACAGCACTTTGCAACACAGTTAAGGTCTTATACCTGCAGAAAGATAAGAGGCATTAAAAGAGAGTTAGTTTAGTTTTAGTAGAGGTTTTACGGCGTTCGCAACTGCATAAGGTCATATGAGCGCCAGAAGATTAGAGGTGTTACAAGAGAGTAACAAACATAAAAAAGAAGGAGGGGAGATAAGGACGATAGATGCTGAGATGGGAAAGAAGGCTCAAACCACACCAGAGCACCCACCAACCATCCACTAATGACATGTTCAAGTCCTACACGTATGTGAAAACATTGTGAATCTTGCTGCTTTGGTTTTAAAGGGAAAATATAACTATTTGAAGTAGCGTGGTCCAAAACACTCAAGCTGCTACACATATGTATGGTATTGTGGTGAAATCAGACGCTCGTCAAAATAATGAAATCGAAAAAAACCCAGACATTTTTCGGCCTGTTGAGTAATTTTTACAGATTTAAAAATTTTTGGCTAAACACCTTTTCTGTCAATTTAAAAACAAATTTCTGGATAGATTTTACTGAAAAAAATTGATAAAAGTAAAAAAACAAAAAAAAACCCAGAAAAAGTGAATTTGCAGGTTTCAAGGATATTCAAGCTTTGAAAGTCACCAAACTTTGGCGCCCATTTCCTCACTAATTTGATCTCAGATACCAAGAAAACCCCACCTCCTTCAAACGCAAATATCTCAACTTTTGTCCAAAATAGATAAATGCTTTTTTCATCAAAAGAACAAACAAATAAACAAGCTTTAACCCCTTCACTGTCTCACCATAGACTGTATACACTGTGAGGTGGGACTATGAAGCAGGAGGTTGACATTATACTAATAACTGCATATGCCCAAAAATTGACAAGCGCCCAATTCCACCGTGTTGTGACACATATTTGTCTCAAAGGAGCAGCGAATATCTGTCATGCAGGAATATAAACAATCACTTGTCTCATATGGCCAGCGAAAAAAACACCAAACCTGTCATGTTATACATTTGTTACAAAAGAGTCCAAAATCTCAGGAGTTGCTTGAAAACAGTCATACATACACACACACACACACACACACACACACAAAAACACACACACACACACCACATCGTAAGTGAATCCTTTTACAGAATCCATCCACAACTATAACTACAATAAGCCATTATAAGCAAAATCTCCCTTCCATGCAGGACAAAATGTGCCAACTACAGTCATAAAAAGTAAAAATCAAAATCCATTGCGGCCATACAGTAGTAGAACAATCATGGAATCATGGTCAAAGAGAGGTGGTTCTTTTTTTTGGGGGGGGGGGGGGGGGGGGGGGCTTGGAAAGCTGTCACACAAAATTCAGTATAAATCTGGGACAACAACAACAACAGTCCATATCACACAGTACAGACGCACAACAGCCAACAAAATAGACAGAAGGAAGAAGTCTGAGAGGATTGAGAGTCACACACCAGTCGCACAGAACTGACAAACGAGTCACACTGAAGATCCTCAATGGCAAGAGAATTACATACAGTATGTATATCTATTTGTACCAGATCAACGCGTGTACTATCAATGACAATGCTTCAGTTATTGATATTAGTTCAGCTGCACATTATGTAAAACACTGACGCACTCACGGCATTGATGCATTGTCAAAGATGATTCACTTTGGGTGTATGTCAAAGAATAACTGGGAGAGTGAGTGTGACAAAAATGTTACAGATGAGTCAGTGTGTGTGTCAGTAAACAGCCACATCTGGGAGATTTAGTGTGTGTCAATAAACTGTGGCAGATGAATCAGTCAGCGTGTCAATAAAGTGTCCCTGCTGAGTTACTCAGTATGTCAATCAACTGTCCTAGACAAGAGACTCAGTGTACCAAAAAACTGTCAGGGCTGAAGGTCAATAAAATGTCACAGTTCAGTTGAGTCACTCAGCCTGTCAAAAAACTTTTGACTCTTCAGTCGCTCAGTGTAAAATCTAAAAATTGTCATACATGTTTATAATGGGTATTAGAATGTCAGTTAAATTGAATGCCACTTTTAAGAACAGATCTGTCGTGGCCCATAAGTCATAGAAATTGTATACAGTAGAATTTTTATCATTGAGACACTGTATGTTTGTCCAAGAATCAATCATCTCACATGAGGCAGTTAGATGGTCCTGCATGAGACTAACAATACATTTTTAGGACGTTGCTTATAACAAAGACGCATTTACAAACTATCTGAAACATCCAAATCATATCTCTTATCTTGTAAGAGTCAAATAGCCTGTCAGACAAGAAAATCAAGCATACCCTAAGCCTAAGAGAAAACGACATATAGAATTACAGGGTGCGCTTTGACCACAGAATTATTAGTGTGTCTTGTGCACAGCGGAGACCATAACTCAAAAGCCTACATGACTGGGAGTTATGTCAAACATGACTTTCAAGACAAGTGCAAGACAACAAAACCCACTTCAGTGGGATACTTCAGAACAGAAAACTTAGGTGTGTATTGAAAAGAAACCCAAACACAAAGCTCATAAGCAAAAACACACACAGCCATCCCTTTCTTTTTTTTTAATCGGACATAAATGCAACAAACTGGAACTTGAAAGATCTCCAGAACTCGTCTGATAGTATCGGAAGAAGACATTTTTACATGCTCTGTATGTATTGCATACTATTCATGCAAGAGAAGTTAGAACATCGGCGGTAATCAGACCTTATAAAACATTCAGAATGGTATAAACATATGTCAGTTTGTAGGTGTGCGTCTTATTAATCTGCGCTCTCTGGCACAAAATCCCATGACTGGAAAATACAAGCTGGTGACAAAATTTCTCTTATTGTACACAAAGTATTAAACAAGAAAAACAACCCCTTCTTAAGTCTTGTTTCTAACAAAAAAAAACCCCCTGGTAACAAGGATTTTTATTTTCGCTCTCGGCATCAATCTTGTATCAACAAGCTGACTTGTTTTCCCCATTCTATCTCTATCGACCTCTACAGCTTTCTCTGATGTGAGACTATTAAGAACTTTTCATCTTATTTTTATTCTTTTGTAGGAAGTTGGGCAGAAACTTTTTCTTTTTGCTTCCCTTCTTCTGCCTCTCCAGCGTCGTCGCAGCAGAGCTATGCCCTCCAGTGGCGCTGTAGATCGAGTCAGTGTCCAGACTGCTAAGGTCCAATTCAGGGCTACGGTCCAGCCTACCGCGGGAGAGAACAGACGTGGAATGGTTACGTGGAAGAGAGTCCCAGCTGGCGCCGTCAGAGTCGTCCAGAAGGTGGTGGTGGTGATTGCCCACCATGACCTGAAGAGGCTGACTGCTGACCACACCGCCACTTCCCTGCTGCTGCTGGTGCTGCTCTGCCCCCGCACCGTTGCTGAGATCAACACCGTTGCTGCCGGTCAGCTCCCTGCTGTCGGCTGTCCCGTGCTGGTGGTGGTGATGATGATGCGACTGGTGTCCGGAGCTGAGGCCGAGGTGGTTGCCAGACGCTGATGAGAACATTTTGGTGGAATTTCCCGGAGACAGAGCGGCGGAGGAGGAGTGAGAGGACAGGGTCATGCTCTGGCTGTGGCTCATCCCCGAGGCCAGGCCCTGCTGTTGGCTGGGCGCCGTGTGGCTGTAGGGCGGGTAGGACAGGGAGGACGTATACGGCGCGGGGCTACGCGGGGGCTGGTGGCTGTGGGCTCCGTTGGCCTGGCCGCCAGACAGGTGAGAGAGGGAGGCGTTGGAATGAGATCTCTCATGGTTCTGGTTGTTAGAGCTGTTGGGAATACAAGTTTTTCAAAGTTTTAGTAAGAGTTTAACAGCACTTACAACAATATTAGGTCATAAAAACGCCGGAGATGAGAGGTATTTCTAGATAGTGACAAACAAAGAAAATATGGAGGAGAGATAAGGACAATAGATGTTTGATAGAAAAGAAGGAGCATACCACACCAGAGCAGTTGCCAACCACCCAAAGTAAATTCACTGGGATGAAAGATGCTTAAAACCCATTGAATAAACAGGTATCATGCAGATGCTGATTAGCACGCACACACACACACACACACACTCATACACACGCACACGCACACCCACACACGCACATGCACGCACACACACACACACACACACAAACAAACACACCCACACACACTCGTGCTCATGCACACACACTCGTACAAAAACACACACACACACACACACACACACACACACACACACACACACAGAAAACCCCCCCAAAGAAAAGACAACAAAGTGACCAGCATCCACGTTTCCTCACCTCTCTCCTAGATGGAAAGACACGGCATCCTGCTTCCCCACCTGATGGTGGTGGTGGTGGTGGTGGCTGTTGACCCCGTGACCCCCGGAGGTCTGTGGCACCTTAGGTCCAAGGTGAGAGAGAGATCCCGTGCTGCCCGCCAGCGCCTGCTTGTTGAGGAATGTCTTGGAGCCTGAAGAACTCAGCCCACCAGTGGGGAAGTTCGCTGAAGGGAGACAGGGACACCATTACGTATACATACTGATTGATCATGCCATTATACAGGGTCATACGGACACACAAACAGGTTTTTTTGTTTAAGTTTAAGTCAGTTTAGTGTTTGTAAGAGTTTTACAGCACTTGCAACACAATAAAGTCCTATAAGTGCCGAAGATTAGAGGTGTTACAAGAGAGTAACAAACACAAAAAAAGGAGGAGAAATCCGGACGATAGATGTTTGAGAGGGAGCAAACCACACCAGAGCACCCACCAACCACCCACTGTTTGAGTAAAGAGAAGCACACCAACAAAGTAATGGTCATTTTCTGCTGGTCATAGGGATACACAAATATGTTTGTTTGTTGGTTGGTTTGCTTGTTTGAGTAAAGAGAAGCACATCGACACAAGAATAGCCACTTTGTGCTGGGAAAAAGGAAGACAGACAGACAAAAACAACAGAGGAAAAGAGTAAAAAAGTAGGACTACCAGAGGGTGCCCTCCAACCACCCGCCACAAACAGGTGATTAGGGACAGCGTCATATGGACACACAAACTGGAGTAGTCAGAGAGAGTCGCACCAATACACACAAGTAATGCGAGACATTTCCATAAACTTCCAACACGTGGAGAATGAGTGCAAGACCCTTCAACACACAAATATTTCCATTTTCAACATTTAGAATTCTATAAACTTCGTCATTTTTAGAATTAATGTAAGGCCTTATAGACTACAAACAAAGAGGTCCATATCAAAGGTGGACTCCCCCTGTTTTAGAGGAGGGAAAGAGGGGTGTGTCTTCGGGCGTCTTATTTTTAATATCTATTCGTCACCAAAGCAGACGTGGATCTATACACAAGAGACCTGGAAAGAAGCCAAATGTGCAGGAAAAAAATCCACCACCTTCACATTAGTGAAGTAGTGGTGTATCTGTGTGACTGACACCATACCAGTAGGGAAGCTTGGTCCAAAGGTGGGATAGCTACTTACTTTTCTTCTCTGGCCCAAGAAGCAAATAATTTAGGACAGGAAAGTCGGAAACATTGAAGGCCAGATCTACAACAGTGACAGAACGGAACGTTTGCAATTTGGCCTTTAAAGGAGAAATTAAATTGTCTTTCCCTCAAAACAAAAGAAAGAGCATAGGCTGTCACTGATTACTCACTCAAGAAAATCATACTCTGGCAGAATCAGAAAAGGTATCATCTACAAAAGGCAGTTATGAACACGGCTTCCTCTGGGATCTGACATTAACAAAAATGTTTTCCAATCATCAAGAAACACTAAAGGACATTTACCGTGTTGATGAGCTTCTCCTTAACTCGAAACAAGCAAGCAAATCACTATAAAAATAAAACAAAGTTTTGACAGACTAGAACAGGAAGCGAAAATATACAAACCTGCGCAAAGACTGACAACAGTGTGTACCGAGTGCGCATTTAACACACCACAAAACAAATACATGTAAACCACTTCTAACGTCAAAACTTTCCAACAATAGAAATACAAAACTCTTCATAAAGATAAGATTGAAAGTTTGATTGCTTGTTTGAATAAAGAGATGCACATTGACACACGAAGGCTATTTAGGGTAGGGGAAAAGTATGATAGATAAATCCGACGACAGAGGGAAAGAAAAATGAAGCAGGAACTACCAGTGGTGCCTTTGCCTAGCAAACTGCATTGGATTGAGAGTTTGAGGTCAAAATACACAGGCCAGTGTAGAGGTAACAGAATAAGACGAGTATAGAGTACACATTGAGAACGACACATTCATACAGAACACAAATAAAGTTCACACTAATTATTGTACAAAGGCTAGGGTACAAACAGACATAATAGTCAGCTTGAGTTACAAAAGATTAAGTACCATTATAGATACAATATAAATCATTAAAACAATAATTAGAAAAGAATATACTGTGAAAGAGACAGAATACACTATACAATACAGATGTAAGTGTAAAAAGAACAGAAGCATAAGATCATAGAGACGTTGTACCATATTACTATTGAGCTACAGATTCAAGACAAGCACAGAAATGTATGAAATAGAAAAGGTACATATAACTTGCTTGCACATAGTACAGAGACCAGTTTATCTCTGTTGATCCCTCCAAGATGCAGCACGATTTGCCAAACAAAGATAAGCATGCAGCTACAACCTAGCCAAACCTCTTTAAACAGACAGCACAAACAAGTAAGACTATCACTAAAGAAGAAGAGTCAATACCAGAATCATCATAATAATATAATGAAACTTTCACTGAAACCTGAAATGCATATTCAAAGGGTTGAGAGTTGTTCCTTACCCATACCATAATTTAAACCTCATATATCCACAACACACCGTTGTGGGATTTGAGTGGGGGGGGATTAGGGAATAAGGAATAAGATAGTTGTAATTAATAAAGGAAGTTGTGATTAATCATTTAATCATTTACTTACAGGAGTCTATAACTTATTTGGAGGCCTCAGCTCCTTATACAATATCACAAAGAAGCTACAGCCTTAAAACCCAAAACAGCCAAACCCTCACGTACAGTAGGTGCACGAAACAAAAAAGTGGACTTACCCTAGTTACTTTTCCCGCACATATTTAAAAAACAAACCAAAATACAAACAAACAAACGAACTACTGAGATTTAGATTAATAGCCCAGTAGGCAGGGCTTCAAATAGTTTAAATGAGGCGCACTAATTGAGTAACTACTCGTCAACCACGACTGTATGCTCTAATCCTTATGGTCACAATGCAGATCACTTTGGAGGCACAATACAAACACCTGAGGGTCACAACAATCCATCTTGATATATGAAAATAATATAAGAATGACATATCTCCATTATCACAGAAAGTGATACATCGATAAATTTTAAAGACTAAAGAAAAAGGAATGACTAAAAAAAACAACAGCTTTCCTCTTTGCATGTGATCCAGCGTGCTCATCTGTTTTCATACATTAATATTATTTATTTTCTCTCAGAAGAACTGATAGAGGCATTCAGAATGGATGTGGTCAATGAATGGCTTTGTCCAAGACCTCGCGGGGTCTCCCTTAAGTCACTGGGCATTTTGTACTATCTCATGGAGTCTGCCTTAAGTCGATGGGCATTTTGCATTATCTCATGGAGTCTCCCTTAAGTCGCTGGGCATTATGTTTTACACCCACACACACGAACGTAAAAATGACAAACAAGTAGGGAAGAAGGGAATTCAAATTAATTCAGTCAGGATTGCGTTGAGGCTAAGCATAGCGTGTGAAAGCGTGTGTGTGCGCGCGCGCGCGCGCGTGTGTGTGTGTGTGTGTGTGTGTGTGTGTGGGTGGGTGTGTGTGTGTATGTGGGTGGGTGTGTTTTGAGTGTGTGCACGCATGTGTTTTGATTGAGATTTGGG